TTTAAGGTGTATGTGAAATATAAATAAATTTCATGTTTAGACTTGGCTTATCCCCAAGATACTTTATTATGTATGTGTGAATGTCCCAAAATCTGAAAAAAACAAACTAAAATCTGTGGAACTCTTCTGGTTTCAAGTATTTCAGATAAGGAACACTCAACCTGTGTCACCTGCCATCTCATTTGGTTCCTGCAGAGCAGTTACTGTATCTAACTAAGTGGTATTAACAGTGTTTAGAACTTAGCAAAGAGACACTGATTTAGTTTGAAAATGCAGACAGCAAAACTGAGATGATTTTTACTTAAAAGGCAGACTCTACCCCTAAGTCTTCAGAAAAACTATCAGTTCTCAGATTCTCTAGCCCAAAACTCTTTAGGTGGTAGAAAAAAATTGTCCCTGGACTACTTACTTCTGCTTAAAAAGTATATCTCACCCATAACCTCAGTAGACAGTATTTTTGGACTATTTGTCTAACACACTGTTGCCCAAGTATTCTTCTGAGATTAAACCAGTAGGGACCAAACTAAGCAATTTCGAAGTTATCAACTAACCATGGAGAAGGAGTTTGTATTAGACCACCACAAGGAATTCCCTAAGGCAGGTACATTTATGATGAACATCAATACAGACCTCATCAAGCCCTTTAATGCATTTAATTTCTTATAGGCTAGTATGTGAAGGTGGTTTTCCAAATGAAAGTCCGTAGCCAAAGTGAATCCAATCATGACTTGAAGTCATGTAGACAATTGCCTCATCTTAAGCACTCTTCCCTGCACTGAACAGAACAACTTTATTTACATTCTGTGAGAAATAGAAAATGGGCTAGATATTTAAAATGAATTAGCTATATTTCTATGCTGTGTGCCAAGTCTTCCGGGTTTGGGATCAAAACCCGAAGCCATAAGGCTGGGTACTATCTGTTCTCTTGACCTTATGGTCATGTTCTACTACATGTTCTATGGTCATGTTCTGTTCTACAGAAGGGGCTTGTAATGACTTTTTTCCTCTTCCAAAATTGTAATAAAACGACTCAAGTCAAGTCAACTTTATGATTATTCACTTTTATAACAGGTAGAGACACTTGGATCAGGTCTTCACTTGTTTTGAGCCTGGAGGTTGTCACCTTTGCTAGCAATGTTTAAACAGCAGTTTATTGTACTAAAAAGTCTTAATATTTGGCAGCTCTACTGAACTTGACCTTTATACATGCTTTAGGTATCTGGAGACTCAGGCCATAAAAGCAAATAATCAAAATGACACAGGACAGGCACGTAAATGCCACATAAACTGGGCGAGACGATGATTCAGGGAACAAAGCTACTCCAGACTTCAAGAAACTGTCACTGCCAAGGAGGGCTTGGCTGGTGACCTTCCTTTATACAGCCCTTGCTCACATGAGAGAGCAGCAGTCTTTGATAAGGGTTGCTATCATCGTCATACCTTTACTGGTGCTATGTGGATGAGCCAGGTTTACTTTCCATGCCTTCCAGTTTCCTACCTCCAGGTCTATTACTACCACCAGCAACTCCAACCCACTTCCCACCATGAGAGAAGTTTCTTTCTACTCTTAGGCTAATAGTTGCTGGCCATATCTGAAGAGCTCTCACAAAACCTTGGTTGTTTTAGACTCTGGCCTTAAAGAATATATCATACCACAGACCTTAATCTTGACTACCTAGGCTGGAGGAAAATGTCCTAGAATCCTCAGGAACCGTGCAATCAGGTATACCAACTTCTCATTAACCTTAAGTTCCTTGCCAGAGTCTCAGTGATCACCTGCCTTGTCCAGGAGTACTGTGAAACAGCACCATGTGCCAGTGGGGAGAAGGGGAAGTGGAGAAGCTCCAGGGTAGAAAGTGAGCTCACATGCCCTGAGACTTTGAGCTTAAGACAGATGCCAGCAGGGGTCGGTTTAGGGTCAATATCTGTCTTGGTCCAAATTTCCTCCAGTTCTGAAAGAATCTGCCTCCTTTCCTTTGAAGATTTTAAGTTTGCATGAGTTTCTGTTTTGCCATTGTTCACGGCATGTCAAATATTTCACATGTGACAAAGTGAAGAGGATCCTCACCTGCCTAATACAAGGTGAACGTCTGGCCTTGACTAACTCATTTCAGCAGTTTAGGTGCATTCCTAGCATTCTACAAGGTTAAGTTCACCTCTAGTGGAAGGGATATGCAGCAAAAATGAAACTTTTCTCTCACCTTCCTGGATAATTGTCCCTTTTTCTGGTGTACCTTAGTGTTTTGAAATGTTACAAAAGGCATAATGCAAGTCATGGCACTATTCTGAGAAATCGTTTAATAAGTTAGTATTACTCATCCATTAATGATTAATGCTAGCGTTTGTAAACTCTTGTAAGCAAAGCTTTTCTAGGCTCTCAGACTTGTAACACATCAGATTCCATGTTCACTACACACTCGTCCTCTTTAAAGAGTCCAGGCAGGAGAAGGCATTTGCAAGAACAACCCATAAGAGCCTGTGGAGTCTCACTTTCCCTTGAAACTAACACTTCCCATGCTGCTCACTTAGGAGTCCGCAGAACCATGTGACCAACCTAAACGTGATCGCACCGCCAACCAATCGCAGAGGGCCGAAAGGCCAGTCCCAGTTCACACGCTCCGGACAGTGGCAACCAAAGGGCAGGGGCATTCGAGACATAAAACCCCAGGCTTTGCCAGAGAGGCTCCTTGACCACATACTTTAAAGTTCCCTCTCACTTCAGGAGCACGTGACTGCAGGCAGGTAGAGCCCCCTAAGCCACCCGGTGACGGGAACTAGGGACTCTGGAATCGGTATTTCAGGCTGGGGCGGCTTTCTGTCCCAATTCCCTGCAGCTGGCAAGCAAACCCCTTGGCGTCATATCTGAAGATCACTTCTGGGACGCGCTAGGATTCTGACTGAGTCCTCTTAGAAGGGCTTCCTGTGGTTTGTCCCGGAAAGTTATGAGGCCCCAAGTGGGAGAGTGGCTGAAGACCATGCAGGGGCCCCCAGGCGCCTGCGGCAGACTCTAGGGATCCGACAGTGGTCACCACCGCCCTTCCCAACAAGACAGGGCCACACACTCGCTCTCGCGCTGCTCCTTTGATCTATTGTTTAGAATGAAGGCTAATTACAGTCACTAGCCTAGGACTCAGTTCCTCTCGAGGAAACGTCACCGGGAAGGAGGATCAGCAAACTAACCTGATTAAGTCTTCCTTCCACTCCACCTCCCAGTTCAGCTGCACGAGAGACCCGAGAGGTTTCCAAATGCCGACCAAAGTCCCGCGTAAAGCCCCGCTCCTCCCCTACCCTGCAAGAGGGAGAGGCGGCCCCGAGCCGGGGGAGTCGCAGTCTGGGTGCGCAGGCTGCGCACTGCCCGCGGCTCCACGGAGCCTCCAGGCTGCCGCCCACCGAACGTGCGCCCGCTCACGACCACCGGAGGACTCCGAGCCTGGGCTGGCACCTGGCGCCCCGCGTCCCCGGAGGCGCACACCTTCGCCCACCGCCCGCCCCCACACTCCCCGAGGTCCGAGGGGCGCACCCCGGTCTGCCGCGCACATCTCGGCCCTCTGCCTCCTTCCTAACACTCCGCCTGGCAGAAGTGGCAGAACCATTGTTCAATGCTCAGAAGCTCACATTCCTCAGCCCCTGTCAAGGGGGCGAGAAACGAGGCAAAACAGGGGCTTTGGGGGCCGCGGTGTGAGGTATCGAAGACTTGTTCGGGAGAAACGTCAAGACACCCCAAACCCCACTGTCCCCCAAGCCCGGCTCCCTTTGGCCGCGGCGCTGACAGCTCAGAGGCGCCACCACGGTGGGGAGGGAAAGAAGAGGAGGAGAGCCGAGAGGTGCCTCCTAGGAGACGGGTGGGCAGACGGAGACCTGCGCCTCGGGGTCCCCCGGTGCCCTAGCTGGGTCCGGGCCGCTGGCGGAGGGGCGCGTCCTTACTCACCGGTTCCGGTGGCGCAGCTCTCCCGGGGCCCCCAGCACAGCGCGAGCAGCAGCCAGAGCGCCCAGCGCGCGGACGTGCCCATGGTGCCCGCCTGGATGGTGCCGCCGCCGCCGCCGCCGCCGCTCGCTCCGCACAACAAGTTACCAGCCCTTCCGAAAGGAGGAAGAAGGTGGGGGCGGGGAGGGGGAAGGGGGAGAAGGAGGGGGAAGGAGTTGGGGGAAGGGAGCGGGGAAGAAGAGGGCACCCCCTCCCCTACAACTTGCACAATCTCCTCCCCGCCAGCCAACCCACCCACCCACCTCCCTGGGCTGCAGCAGCAGTGCAAGCCGAGCCTGCGGGCAGAAAATAATGCAGGCGCTGCAGAGGAGTGGAGGGAAGGAGAGGGGAGGGGAGGGAGAGGGGAGGGGAGGGAGAGGGGGTGGGGAGCCGAGAGCAGAGGAGAGGACAGAAGAGACAGGAGCCGGTAGCGGAGCACCCACACCGGCGGCGGCTGGAGCGCGGGGTGAGGAGCGCGGAGGGGGCAGGAGGGGGAGTGGTCAGCGGGCGGTAGGGCGGGCGCGCGGCGGCTTCAGCTCTCCTTTCCTTTGACGCACTCCTCTTACACACGCTGGGCAGCCGGGTGCCCGCGCCGGGAGTGTGCGAGTGTGAGCGTGCGTGCGTGAGTGGCCGTGGCCCTGGCTGCCGCCGCCGCCACCCGGACTGCTCTAGGGGCCCGGCTTCTCCGCGCGTCCGCCTGGGGCGCACGGGGGCCCGGGGCGGCCGCTGGTTGGCTCGCGCACCGCCGTCGCCTCCAATCCCCGGTGCCTGTCCTAATTTCCTGATCCAGGGAACCTGCTGCCGCCGCCGCAGCTGTGCGCTCCCTACAGTCATTACAGTGCCCTCCCGGCAGCCGCCGACTGAACACGCAGCGGCAGCAGTTAGCGCTGATGCAACTCTCGCTGCTACTGCCACCGCCTCCCCACTAACGGGGCGTGCAGCTAGGGGGTATTTGCAGTTTCCAGGGGCGACAAGCATCTCTCTACCACCCTCTCCTGCGCCCATGAGAGAGGCTGGTAGGTAGCATCGTCCTCGGGCCTCCTCTTCACTCAGAAAGTGATGAAGCGGAGCGGAGGGGCTTGAAAGGTTTGGGCTGCTCAAATGTGGAGTTCGGGCTGCTCAAATGTGGAGTTCGGGCTGCCTGTGTCAGTAGCACGCTGAGGTGCCATTTTGCTAAAAACTAAATGTGTCTTTAAGTGAGAGAGAGTGTGTGTGTTTGAAAGAGAGAGTGCGCGCCGCTGTGGCCGGTCCTCTGCAATAGAACAAGACTAAAATAACCCAGCCTGGGATGAGGAGAAGGGAAATTGCTAGCGCAGCTTTGCATTCGCTCAGCAACGATTATAGTTAATTGCTAATTGCACAAAATGATAGTTTGAGGGCCTGTAATTAAAAGCTTAACCTTTTCTTGTTTGGAAGAGAGGGGCCCCATAGGTTTATTCTTCTTGATGTACTTTGTAACATTCAATTACAAGACTTAAGGAAAGAATAAAGGAAGCAAACGCAAGACTTCTAGAAAGGATTGATTGTTCTTTTATGCCTGACAGTCCTTGAGCGTATAATTTGCTTTTTGTGTACTTCAGTTTTCTTGCACGCTTAGCCCCGGTTGAGGTGCATTCTCTGCTGTGGTCTGTTAAGCATCTAACCAGAGTGGGAGGGCACATCCAGCGATTCCACTTTCTTAAATAAAAGGTTTTTAGGTACTTTTAAAAAGTTGTTTTTAATCTTGTTTCAAACTTGGAAGAATTCAATAATATCATATTCTGAGTCTATTCTGTTGGTGATCTGAAGAGTAGGGGCCACTGCCTCCCTCTCTTCTCCTTGCCCTGCTTCTCCTGGGAATTTGTCAAGACTAGCAGTCAGGGGAGACATTTATTAGGAACTCTATATCCAGGAGACACACAGGAGAGGAAAGCTCCGAGTCAGGATATGTTTCTATGGGACCAAAGATACCCAGATCATGACTACTAAGCATGAAAGGGACTAACTCTAGGTATGGATGGGATCTTGCACTATAGCTCATTTTGAATGCTATTTTGCCTACCCTGTGGTTACATAGTTGATACAAACTGCAGCTGCCAGGCAGCCTTCATGTGAAACAACTAAAATTTGTTTTTATGATATATAGTAGTGTAGATGCATGCCAGTGTTATTCACCTAATGGGTATTGAGATGTAATGAGAAAACCTCAGTGCACAATGTCTTTCATATTCTCAGGGTTCTGACGGGGAGGTGTCACTTTACAGAAGAGGAAAGGAGTACAGGGGATAGGTAGAATCAATACCAAAAGGGGCAGCGTTAATAAACAGTCATGTGACTTCTTTTTAATATTTTACTCAGAGAAATATGAACACTACAAGCTAAACATTGATATGGTACAAGACTTATCTTTGAAAAACATGCGTGAGTATTTTCTAATTTGCCAAGGGATATAAGTAAACTTTCGGTGAACGTAGCTGCAGCTCTATGTTCAATTTGTGGCTTTTTTGTTGACTCAGAAGAAAGCATAACTTTTGGCTCCATCTCTGATTGACTGTGTAACTTGGGAAAAATCACTGTGCCTCTTTGTGCCTGCCTTCCAACCTGTAAACTGAAAACAAAACCAACCCACTTGATATCAGATTGCTCAGTGGCCTCAAGGACCAGCTCTCTGCAAGGTGTTTATTAGAAGAAAAAGGTTGTATGGAGAAATGCATTTGATTATGATAGAAAGTAATTAATAACTGAAAAGATAAATTGATGATAAGTGGAGATTGAAGTGGTTTAACTAACTGAGCTAACTGATCCTAAGTGGAGATTGAAGTGGTTGAACTAACTGGATTCAGAGAAGTTGACACTGCAGAATTCCCGATGCCTTCAGGTAAATGCAAAGAGGATCCCATTCACTCCTACAACCACCACATTCATTTATTTGTTGAAGCAACACGTATTGAGCATCCCTGACTAGCAGGCACTGTACAAAGTAGTGGGCAGATAGAAGTTCTTGTCTAGGAAGCTCAGCGTCTGGTAGAGGAGGCAGGCAAGTGGGCAGTTGTAGCACCCTGATTAAGAGATGCTTAAAGTGCTATAAGATTGCAAGTAAGAAGCAGCTATTCTGGCTGCAGGATGAGGGTATCAGAAAAGCCTTGACAGAGCGTTTGAGCTTTTTTTTAATATATCATTTTCACCCAGTAATCGGAGTTCTCCCTACTTCTGGACATATGGTAGGATTGAACATCCTGACCCCCTTATGGTTGGATGGGGTTGAAAGACTAACCTTGGCTAATTCTTTGTGAGCCTGTGTTATAGGGTGCCATTTCCAGACTGGAGCATTTCATTGCTTATGTGAGACTCTCTCTTTTTGTCTGCATGGTGCCAGCAAACGTTTAAGAGGTGGCTGCCGCGTTAGTCCAGGTCTCTGAGTGATTAGATTCATTTAGAACTACCCATGTGAGTAGTTCCTGCTGTCTATGTGTCTTTTGCAATGGTTAGAGGTTAGCAAACTAGGACTCACGGGCCAAGTCTAGCCAGACATCTGTTTTTGTATGGCCTATAAATAAGAACGATCTTTACATTTTAAAAGAGTTTTACAAAGAAGAGGAATAGTGTGCAACAGAGACCGTACCTTGCTCACGAAGCCTAAAATATTTACCACCTGGCCCTTTAGAAAAATTTTAAAAAAAAATTGCCCACCCCTAACATAGACCAGGTGAGAGAGTTGTAAATCGCTGTCATCTTCATCTACCGAGATTTTGTTACCTTGGCATAACCTGGTGATAGCCTGACTGATACATCAGGGAAGAAGGAAGGAAAACCATGATGAGCAGGGGGCACAAAGGAGCAGCATGTATTCAAGGCAATGGAAGGAATTCAGGGTGGTTCAAGGGTGGGGTTCAAGTGGACTAACGATGTGAGGTAAGGTTGAAGAAGAAAGGCAAGGACTAGATTAGCTGGAGTCTAGAGTGTCATGCTAAGGCTTTGAATTTTATCCTATGAGCCATGGTAAGGACTAGTGACAGATTTTGATCAGAGTCCTGATATCAAGTTTCTTTTGCTCTGACAATGGTATGAAAAGCATCACGTTTAGCATGTGGAATAGGGACAGACTAGAGGAAGAAACGTTAGTTAGAGGCCCCAGTAGTAAGGGAGTGCATTAAAGAAAAGAGAGGAGGCCGGGTGCAGTGGCTTAACGCCTGTAATACCAACACTTTGAGAGGCTGAGGCAGGAAGATCACTTGAGCTCAGGAGTTCAAGACCAGCATGGGCAACATGGCAATCCCCACAAAAAATACAAAAAACTAGCTGGATGTGTTGGCACACACCTGTAGTCTCAGCTACTGGGGATGGAGGGGAGCCTGAGACAGGAGTATTGCTTGAGCCCTGGAGGGTGAGGCAGCAGTGAGCTGTGATCATGCTATTGCACTGCTGCCTGTTTGACACAGGGAGACCCCGTCTCGAAAAAAATAAAAATAGAAAACAAAAGGAAGAAACTGTGGTTTGATTAGTCAGAAACATTCAGGTAATTCCTCCATGAGATTTTTCGCCTGGGTTTTTGGGCTTTATCTCTGAAGTATTTTCCAAACATGTATAATCCATGTGAATCACTGGCAATGTCTGTTAAACTACAGACTCCCAGGCCCCTCCCTTGATGAGGGATTCAGCTGGTCTAGGGTAGAGCCCAGGAATCTGTATATGTAACCCTATTCCAGTTGATTCTTAGAATTAGTCATGATTAAGGAACTGTTTTAGAGAATGTCTTCTTCAATGTGGTTTTAATTGCTAAGTAGGTTTACTTCTGTCGTATTTGTGTACATTAATTTGTCAAATTTCTACTAAGGGAGTAGGTTAGGACCCATAGAAAATGTTAAGGTTGATGCTTGTCATTTTTCTTCAAGGTCCTTAGACCAATAATACTGGCATCAAAAATAATCTTCAAACCAATTTGCTAGTTCGTAGTACTCATCACTGTGATTTCTACCCCACAGCCTCAGCATAGAAAGTAGGAAGTGAAATGAGCTATGCTCTTCTGGAGCCACCCCTTTCTGAAATGTTTTGATGGTAACTTCTCAGGCCTCCATTCCATCACTTTCTAATTGTGTGCCAGCCCAGGGAAATGAGTGGGATTCGCTCCTGCTAAGCTCCATGAATAGGACCTGATGGTCAAAATCAGTGGGTCACAAATTTTAGCTTCCATCAGAATCACTTGAAAGGCTTGTTGAAACATAGGTTGCTGGGCCCCACCTCCAGAGTTTCTGAATCAAGAAAGGCCCAAGAATTTGCATTTTCAGGAAGTTCCCAGATGATGTTAATGCCACTGGTCCGGGAGTGTACCCTGAGAACCACTGTTCTAAACACATTGACATTACTCTCCCCCTCAGCCACTGGGATTCGTTTAAGGGCCTCAGCCAGTCACCTATGGCCTTCCTCTGTTTGCATTGATTGTACGCTTCAGCCCTGAGCACATTACAGAAGCTGACTCAGTTATGATGAAGCTCAGGGCTTTTGCTTGGTTAGAAAGGCTCTATCTTCTAAGTAATGAGATGTGTGGACTCAAGGCCAGAACTGCTACTGCCATTTTGCCATCCTG